ACTGCCATCTTTTTTGCACTACTCCGCTGTGGCAGTTTTACTGACACAATTAGCTTTTTATTCATTTTAGATTTGTTTCAGCTACTGCAGTTATCTTATCTGCTGCATGTGTTGTTTTTATGAAACTAAAAAGCACTTCAAGGTGAGCTTTGCCTTTTGCCATCGTCATTTTGCGTTAGCACCAACATTCTCCCTCATCAGCGACCGCAGCATCTCTGCCTTCTGGTATTTCCGTCTACTGATAGCCGCTGTGTGTTCACTCTAAAGCCATCTTTATCGTTGGTTAGGCTTTCTTATCAACAAACAGAAGTAACTATTTGGATAACTGTGTGTTTCCAAGTATTCACCAAATAGTAGTGTTGTGTCTCTGATTCAGTCAAAAAGGTCAACCAGCTCCGGATGCAACTGGTGATGCTACGATGCTACTTCTATTGGGAAAATGCAGACACTAGAAAGTCAACTTTTTAAATTACGACATTATTGTGTACGATGACGAGCGTAAACAAAAGCAGTGATAGCTTTGCTTTCACAAGCACAGACGGCACACGCCATAGCAGAATTTGTCCTATTTTCAACTGCTTGCAACTACGTCCATCTTGCACTCATCGTAATATCTCTTTGCGTCAAACACAATTGTTGATAAGCATTTCCACTTTGGCACTTTGTACTTTACTTGTCCATTGTCGTTTCAAAGCAGTACTACACTAAAGACATCCAATACTGAACCAGCAATGATGACGACGACAAAAATGACAACTGCTCGGTCGTTCACTTGTGTGCTTAGCGACCAGTGGACAAGACACTGCTTCAGCTGTCTAATTTAATGTCTGTCTGTTTTTTGTTCAAGTCGTCTCAGTTGTCGTTTCGGCTTTAACTTTACTTCCTAAGTCAATGTCACTATACTGCACTGTACAGAAGTGTGCGTCTTTTTGTCATTTTCTTTTTCATCTGGTAAAAGTGCATCTCACTTCATAGTGCTCAAGAAAAGTGAGGCAAAAGCCATTTTTAGAGTGGGAAGTAAAAGCGGTAGAGAGTAAGATCACTTGATCACTTGATCTGATCTGAAATAGCTAAACGTTCAAAATAATGGCAGTCGTCGTTTTGAGACATTGCGACACTAACAAGTGCATGAACGGAGACTCAAGTTCGAAGTCAAACGTTGTTGAATTTATCGACAACTAAACTCATTTACTATTAAATGAAATGACGACGTCAAAGACCACTACTCCTATTACTACTACTACTACGAGTCAAAAGGCAACATCAACAGCAGTGGTTTGCGCAGTGGGCGGCATACGAGCTCCAGCATTGAAGAACGGTAACCGAGTGCGCGTCTTGATGTCCTCCTTCACTCGACGTCACCAGCAGCACAATTCCACTGTTTTAGTGAGCGTTCCAATCAAGCTATGCACTTTTGGTTTCAATTTAGCCTGCAATATTGGAAGTACGGGAGAGACTGTATAAATGCATTTGCACAACACCACGAGGAAGAACTCATTTTGGTGCTGATGCCAATGCCAATGCTGCTACTGCTACAGCTATTGTAGATGATGTAGTCTGGCAGCATTATTTTTGCAACTACGAGGATGTTGCCGAAGTTTGGTGTTTGACGTGTTTGCTCGTTCACACCGGTGGTTGTGGTGGCCACACCAGTTGCACTAAAAAAGTTTGTGTGCTTCCAACGCCTGTACGCTCAATGCCAACTGGTCAGTCTATCGAAGAGCAGCAGGAGGATAGTAGTGCCAGCACCAAGGGGAGCACAATCACCGACAAATTAACTCTTTCACCCACACACTGCCATCATCGGCGCCAGTGCATCGGCGTCTGTCTTATAAATATTCATCTACCGACTATCACTGCCAGTTTAATGACCACTGCACTGATCACCACCACCATCATCATCATCATCAAAATTATTGCCAGTCTTTCAAACAAACTGAGGTGTTGCATCAGCCGCCACCTCTTCTACTGCTGCATCAGCTCTGATCCTGGTTAAGAAAGGTTTTGTTTCTGCTGGCTGATCAAAAAGAAAAAGGTGTTTTGGCTTATCAGTTTAAGAACAATGCTCGATGAAGTGAAGAAAATGGCAACTATCCTTAGTGTTTTTCGCCGGTCGTGGAGACTAATTTTCACAGTTCTGGTACCACTGGCACTTTCACCACTGCTCACAGACTACAACAACAAGGCCTACCTCTGCTGCTATGTACTACTTGTCATGGCACTCTTCTGGATGTTTGAACCAATTAACCTCTACATTACATGTAAGCTTTTGACTGAATTGAAAAAAAAGATTTTTTATTACTTATTTTTTACAGCACTCATTCCGGTCGCCTTATTTCCTCTATTTGGCATTGCTTCGTAAGTTCTACCGATTTAAATTTTAGGCATGTTTTTATACTCTAATTAATTACTAGAACTGATGAAGTTTGCTTCAACTACATGAAAGGGACGGTGATGATGTTCATTGGTGGTCTGATTATGGGCATTGCACTAGAACATTCTAACTTGCATCGAAGATTGGCATTAAAAATTATTATTTTCTTTGGATCAAGCTATAAAAAGTATAAACTTGTTCAAAAAATTTTATTTTTTATTACAATTCATTTATCTATTTTGAAGTCTGATGATAGGTATCATGTTGGCAACATTTTTTCAGTCAATGGTGAGGAATGTCATTATTTTATAAAATGAAGTAATATTGATTATTTGCAGTGGATCAACAACACTGCGACTACGGCAATGATGATTCCCATTGTGGATTCGATTCTTGAAGAAATGAGTAAATTTTCTTGCACTTTGTAAACAATTAAGAGTACTTTTTTTCTCACACAGACAACGCCAATGAAAACAAAAGACAAAGTAACATTCCCAATAATTCATTGGAGCTGAAAAATAAAGTCAAAGAAGGAGATGTGGAAAGTCAATCTGATTGCTCCACTTTTGATGACGATCAAGTAAAGAAAGAAAAACATGAAGCGGTATTTAAGTTTTTAAAAGATTGCAAAATGGCAAAGTTTTTATTGTTATCGTGTTCTACAGAAAATTGTTCGCAAAGCAATGCTCCTCTCCATTGTTTACGCGGCAAACATTGGTGGCACAGCCAGTCTGACGGGCACTGGAACCAATTTGGTGTTACAAGAAGTCTTTCTAATGTAATCAATTATGCAATTTGAAATACTTTCACTTTCTAAACGCTACATTTTACTTGCAGTGAGTTTCCTCAATCTACTGCACTTAATTTTACGACTTGGTTTGCCTACGCATTTCCTTCAGCACTTCTGACCATCTTTGCTTCCTGGCTATACCTTTGCATGTACTTTATTTCTAGTCAGTAAGTACATTTTTATGATGTTTTTTTCAAACTGTTACGCAACTCAATACATTTGTAGTGACAAATCTCCTGAAACAGCCAAAGTTATCAGAGAATCAGCGGTAAAAAAGTACAAAGAACTAGGCTCAATGACGTACGTTTTTCTTTTCTTATCAATGGGTTGCAGATTTTTGAAACTAACCTTGCATGCAAAAATAGGTCGCACGAAATTGGTGTTTTAGTGCACTTTATCGTTCTTGTGCTACTGTGGTTCTTTCGATATCCTGGTTGGGCAAATATGATTACTGACAACAAGCATGTAAGTTTGTGTGCTCACCTGTTGCTTTGTGTTGTAAGTTTTTTAATTTTTGTTGTGTTTGTACAGCAAATAAAGGACGCCACTCCTGCAATACTGGTTGCTATCTCTATGTTTATATTTCCCGCCAACTTTCACCAGTTCACTGATTCAGCAAAAACTGAAAGGAAATCTAAATCAGACATCAAGCGACTGCTTAACTGGAAGGCCACGCAAAATGGAATAAGTTGGGGGGTTGTTTTTCTGCTCGGTGGTGGCTTTGCACTCGCTTACGGCATTCAGGTAAAACAGTTTTGGCGTTAAATTGAAAACTGTTTTAACAACTTTTTCTTTTTATCTAAACAGAAATCCGGACTTGCCACGCTGTTTGCAAAGCTGCTGGGAAAAATCACATTAAATCCCAGCCTGACCACTGTGGTACTTGTCGTGATCAGTGCTTGTGTGACGCAACTGACAAGTAATGTCGCTACGGCAAACGTCATGCTGCCGGTTATCTGCCAAATGGTAAGTGAACGAAGAAAATGATGAAAAGTGGGATAGTGCTGAAACACAGTTTTTTTCTCAACCCCAGGCCGTCCACCTTCAAGTGAATCCCTTGTTGTTCATAGTACCTGTCACTATTGCTATCTCCTTTGCTTTCATCTTGCCTATCTCCTCGGTAAATGATAAAATATTTTTTTGTTTACAATTTAATGTTTGTACTCTATTTTCAGCCTTCGAACGCGCTTGTTTATGAGCACCTACACATGAGTGTTTTAGAAATGGTAAGTGACTGATTGTTGTTACCTTTCCTTATTATTTCTTTTGTTTGTTGAACTGCGCAGGCAAAACCAGGAATATGGATGAATATCATTGCAGTGGTTATTCAACTGGTGTGCGTAAGCACTTTTGGTCGATTGGTATACACTTTCAATGTTTTTCCCGATTGGGCCAAGCCATCCAATGCCACTGTGGCCAGCTACTACATTGGTTAGCACTACTATTTGTTTGTTTTTGTAAATACTTTTGTACATATGTTTAAATAACAAAACCAAAACTAAATTTGACCAAAAATGAAATGGTAGTTTATATTTCTGCGTTGAAAAACATCAGTTTGGTGGCCTGATGAAAATCATGACACCATTGCTGAAATTGTCTGGCAGCTGTCTAGCACAGGTCTACATATTATCTCGTTGCTAATGTACGTGAAATCGCCACTGATACATCAATACTTTCTGATTTGAGCCCGCTTATCACTTTTGTTAGATGATGAGCTCGTCAACTTCAGTTTACAGTAATACACATATAAAACCCTCTTTTGACAGTCATCAAAGCACCTCTGAGAGCTACCACTTCTGAGAAACTTTTGCTTCTTGACAAACGACACACCACAAAATGCCAATCAAACAAATTCACGCTCGTCAAATCTTTGACTCTCGTGGTAATCCCACTATTGAGGTTGATGTGACCACAAACTTGGGTAAATACTGATTTGTAGAAACTGTAAAACTAGCTTTTAGCTAATTGTCTTTATCAAACGCAGGCCTTTTTCGTGCCGCCGTTCCCAGCGGCGCCTCAACAGGCACCTACGAGGCGCTGGAGCTGCGTGACGGTGACAAAAACAAGTACCACGGAAAGTCAGTGTACAAGGCAATCTCTAACATTAACGACATTCTCAGACCAAAAATAATTGCCAAGAACTTTGAAGTGACTCAGCAGAAAGAGATCGACAACTTTATGATCGCCCTTGATGGGACAGACTTCAAGAGCAATCTCGGAGCTAATTCAATTTTAGGCATCAGCATTGCTGTCGCCAAAGCGGGGGCGGCCAAGAAAGGCGTCCCACTGTACCGTCACTTGGCCGATCTTGCCGGCAACCGCAATTTCATTTTGCCTGTACCAGGTTTTAATGTCATTAACGGTGGTCAACATGCAGGCAATCGAATGGCCGTTCAGGAGTTCATGATCATGCCCACTGGAGCGATTTCATTTGCCGAAGCAATGCAAATGGGCAGTGAGGTCTACCACCACCTACTGGCTGTCATCAAACGCAAATATGGCCTTGATGCGACATGTGTCGGCGATGAGGGTGGTTTTGCGCCAAACATTACCGATGCCGGAGAGGCTCTGGAGTTGATCAACCAGTCAATCAAACTGGCTGGGCTAGTGGGAAAGGTGGAGATTGCCATAGATTCGGCTGCTTCTGAGATGTACAAAGAAGGGCTCTACGATTTGGATTTTAAAAACGTCAAGTCAGAGAAGGCAAAGTGGCTGACGCCCACTTCTTTGATTGACTTTTACAAAAAACTGATAGCAGACTATCCTATTGTCTCACTGGAGGATCCACTCAATCAAGACGACGAATGGGACACTTGGGCCCAGTTAACAAAAAGTGTCAGTATACAAATTGTTGGGTAAGGATACGTTTTTTAAATAATTTTTGCGTTTATAAAAGGTTTTATTTTGCAACAGAGACGATCTGACGGTAACCAATCCAAAACGCATCCAAACGGCAATTGAGGAAAAGGCCTGTAATGGTCTTTTGTTGAAAATTAACCAAATTGGCACTATCACTGAGGCAATCAAAGCGTAAGTTGTTTATTTTTTTATCTTAAGTTTAAGTTTTTGTAAATTGACTTTATTCAAGACACAATCTTGTGAAGGCCCACGGTTGGGGCACTATGGTGTCACATCGATCAGGCGACACTGAGGATGACTTTATTGCTGATTTAGTCGTTGGCCTGGGGACTGGACAGATTAAAGCTGGAGCTCCCTGCAGATCGGAACGACTTGCCAAGTACAATCAACTGTTGCGCATTGAGGAGCAGTTGGGTAAAGATGCCAAATATGCTGGCAAAAACTTTAGAAAACCTTACTAAGGAATTGAGCTAAACTCGAATTGGTTGTTTTAAAGTAAATTTTTAAAAATAAAACATAAAAAACCTTTCACTTCAAAGTGTTTTAGAGATTACATTAACTTATATTTTAGTTTTAAACTTTACAAAATGTTATTTACTTTTTTAAAATGAAATGCAAACATTAAGTAGTAAATGTAGATGAGCAAAATCTAAAACAAATTTGATTAATGCTAACATTAAAATTCGTTCAATCAAAAATTTACCTTGAAAACTGATTCATAAGTCACCAAAAAAATTGGTCCAACAGTCATGCCGTACTTTGTTGAAGTGAGTCGATGCAACAGGTCATCGTATTTTAACTTCAAACTTATAAACTGTCTTCCGTGGAGAATTTGCTGAACTGCGGGCACATATCGACTGAAACCGTGAATCAATTTAGAATTTTTTGCTAATCGAAGCAGAACAAAGACGGCGGCAATTAATTGAACGCATAGAAGAACTGTGTAAATGAACGACTCGAGCAGTGGCATTTTGTCAAAGAGAAGGTGCACCACAAAATAGGAATTTGAAGGAATGTTTGTAGTAATGAAATAGAACATAATGGAACTCCAAATTTTGCTATTTCCAAAAAGTATGTGCGCGCAAATTTGCGTGTGCTCCGTCAGACAGTGCTCCAGCTTGGCCGTGGCACTGGTCACATTGCGACTGCTGCGACAGGCCACTCGGTAGTTGCGCAGAACACTGCTCAGCAGTTCATCACACTGCTTCAGCTTGTAGCCGTACACTAGGTTACCGGTGAGGGAGCAAACGGAGTAGAGGCAGGCACAACGAATGAGCATTGGAAAGGCGTAGAAGAGGCCAATCTGGTCGAGGACAATGACGGGCATGTGGTACCACTCGGGGGCGGCGTCTAGGAACGCCCGACCATAAGTCAGGCAGAAAACGGCTAGGAGGCAGTCTGGGCAAAACACACAATTGTTCAGTTATAGCAGTACAATGACAGACGTAAATAAACTTACAAATGAAAATTTGAATCACAAAGCAGATCTTATCGATAATGCTCACAGCTAGTACGAGTTTAATTCGCAGCTCAAGCGGCGCCTCATTGCTGTAGATCCGAATAGAGTGCCTTTGCATCCGAGACAAATTGACATCGTCCAGATTTTTCCAAATGCTAAACCGCGCCTTGACACTACATAAAACTGTTTGCACACGAACTGGCACCACTGAAAACCACCAGTACTGGTCGGCAAGTTTATTTGTGAGTTGCTTTTGCCTTTTTTGTCGCAACAGCAACACTTCCTCTTTTGTCCTCTTGCATTGCTTGTAGTAATCGGTATTTCGTACAACCAATTCGTAAAAGTAATTCCATATTTTCAAAGGCGATGTAAGGAAGCCCATCTTTGCTTTTTGCAGAAAGATGCCAATGACAATGACAGCAGTTGTTAGTAAACTGTCGTACAATTTGGGTTTAGTTCGGGCAAAACAAAGCAAATACTCGTACTGCCAATAATCAGTTTGATAATTGTTCATCATTGTGAAAAGTATAAAAGCACCACGAAAACTGTAAAAAGTGGCAATAAAAGTGGCTATTTTGCTTTCTACGACAAATTTTCCTGATTGTCTCTCTTGAACAAGATTTTTGATAAAGTTATAGAAAAGGTGGCGAACTTGACTGTTGTCAAACATGATGAATTGTATACAATTTTGTTTTATTTTAAAAATAAATTAAAACTCAACGTTTTTTAAAATTATGAATGAACTTATAAATTGTTTTAATTTGCCTGATCAATGTTAAAAGAACAATGCAACGGAAACGACCTTTCTTTGTCGCCAAAACTCTTTTCTATTGAAAGTTTTTTAAAATCGATTTAAAATTAAGTTATTCTGTTTTTAAAGATTGAGTTGTTTTCTTTTAATAAATTGCAAACATTTAAATATTTAATGATATGTATACTAATACTAACATTTTCTTGAAACGGTTGCCCGAAGTGACTTTTCGGATTGTCAAAGATGGTAAGCAGTGTACATACAGTATCCAATTGATTGGTTTTTTAAAAAATCATGTTTTAGTGTAAAAAATTAAACTCGTAATAGATAATTTACAAAATAAACTAATACAAAACCATTGATTTTACAAAAAAAATTGATATTAATGTGGGTTTTAGCAAATTATTAAGAGCAGAAATATACTTTCTAGTAAATATTAACAAATAGTAAAGAAACTTTGGCTTTTCCCCTTGAAAGTGACTTTGCTTCAACAAATTGAGATTGAGCTGCTAAATGATCATCTAAACTTTATTCAAGTTACATTTAATAACTGCCAGAACTTTAAAAAACATTTACTTTAATTTTAAATATGTAAAAATTTCATTTATTGCGTAAAAGTTTTTGTAAATAACAAGAATTTTTAAACTCAAACTTACAAATCAACAGCCAAAATTTTCACCTTGTTGCTTTCGGCACTAATCTCATACTCTTTTGTTCCACCAAAGTAAAATGAGTCTGTTTTTGAACGTACCTTTCCAAAACGCACCTCTGCGTTGTAAACAACCTTTCCAAAATAGTACACCGTATTATCATCTCGTCCACCAATGATGCCGCCGATTTCACCACGAGTTTCAGTTTTGAAAGGTTTCCAAACGAGGGGCACATTTCCTGGATTATAGAGCACCTTGTAGTTGGACTTTTCATGAGTACTGTGTCCGTATGTCACATCGCAGTCTCCAGTGGCAAGGTTTAGCTAAATGAAAAAACAAATGTACTAAGCATTTAAGTAAAAAACTTAAAAAACTTACAAAACCAGGTATTTTTGTACTCCGATGTTCAGCTTGACAGAGGTATCTTGGAAGACCATCAGCGTCAAGGCCACCAAGTACTGGATTGTTCATTGACAGTGACCCGCCAGAACTTTCTCCCCAGAACAGTGCTGTGGTTGAAACGGCTGCTAATGAAAAAAAATAGACAAAATTAATTAACAAAACACTGGTTCAGTAACATTTCTAAGCACTTACATTTCCTAAAAACTTGCCAATGCACTTTGTTTTCAACCTCTCCTCCGTTTTTCATTTTTATCATTTTCAAGTCTACAATGTTTTCCTCATAACCCTCTGATGCCTTTTTTGACTCAACTATCTGACATTTAAGGGTTTCTTTCTTCTCTTCAATTTTCATTTTGATGAGAAAATCCGGCTCACTGGCAGTGCTCTCGACGACGAGAATTTGCTCTTTAAAAGTGCCTGAAGCGACATCTAGAACGTCTTCAACCTTCCTTTTTGAGGGCAGTCTCATAACCGACGAACCAGAGGTGCCCGACTTGACGCGGCCAATGAAGGTTGGCCGGTTTACTGCCCGTTTGCTGCCAACTGCCAGGCCGGAGCCAGCGCCGGTGGCGGACACTGCATTGTACGGCACCGCCGACCAGTCTTCAATGTCCTCCCAGCGGTACTTTAGCTTCTTCGGATTAGTCAGCAGCTGGTACTGCGTCACGGCTGACGAGCGACCGTTCTCCACTGTTCGACAGTGGCCATCGCGCAGTGAAACGATGCCCACCTGCTGCGAATCTACTGGTCGGCAGATGAAGAGAGCACCGCCGTCTGCACCGAACCCAGCAAAGACGGCATGTTTCAGCTTCAGTGATCGGTCTTTGTATTCGCTGGCTGTCCACTGAAAACAACAAAGTGTAAAGGTTTAATTTCAAAATTAGAAAAAACTTGTTTCACTTACCTGAAACTGATCCTTTTGAAACAGTTCTAACTTTTGCCCTCCAAAGCTTCCCTCTTGTCGTTTCACGTACACGTCTTCGTTGACTGACTTTTCCGTTGGCGTGCATTCAAGCTCCAGGTCACTCACTCGTACGTGATAGCCGTACACTTGTCCAGTGGCTGGATCAATATCTTCAATTGGCCGAGGTGTGGTGGTCGTTGGGGCTGGAGTTGTAGGAGATGTGGTAGTTGTTGTTGTGGTAATTGCAGTTTTGCTTGCATTAGAGATGTAAACTGGAGTGACCAACTCATCGCCATCATCATCGCTATCATCATCAGGCAGTACTGCGCCACTGGCAAAAGCGAAAGCAAGGGCAAAAATCAAGTAGAATTTTAGAAGCTTCATCGTGTTGGTTCATGTCCAAACTGTCTGAGGTGGCTGGGTATTTATTTGAAATTAAAGTTAGCCGGTTGCCTTCGTTTGCAGCCATATCGCATAGGGTTAGATTTCATGAACGAAATTTATTGCAACACACTGTTGAATTTTTTACTTTCAATAATCTTCTTTCAAGTTGGAGTGAAAAAAAGTGACATCAAATGACGTACGTAATTATCAATAGTGCTTGATTGGTTTCTGTTTTAGTTACTTGAAGATGTTGAAAGTGACGCCAACCAGTTGCTCAAGGACAGAAGGGTTGATATGAATCACTCATCTTCTTTGAGTGCAGCCAAAAAAAATGCCTTTGGCGATAGTACTTGTGATGCTTATTTGTGTAGTAAAAAAATTGACAGCTGTTAAACAGCAATCGATTATCAACTTGGTCAACATGTGCTTTATTTTGTCAACTCTTGAATTGCTTTAAGAAACCAAAATAGGAAACAAATAATCACCCAAAAGCATAAAGATAAAAGTAAATCTAACCTTGAACTAGTAGGAAAAGTGATTTTTTTGGTGACAGGAAACAAATAAAAATTGATGATTTATCGATAAAAAGATACAAACTGTAAATGATTTTAAAATTGATTTTTACAAATGCAAAAAAAACATTATTTTACGCAATTTTACAAAAGTTAAAGTTTATACACTTTTTGAAGTGTAAACAAGTAAAAACTTAAAATGATTCTAGTTTTAACACATTTTTTGTTTTTTGAAAAAAATCAATAAATAATTTTAGGTGCACAGATGAATTTTTATTACAAAAAAGTACAAACTTTTTATATATTTATTTTAAGTGTTTTCTTAATTTATTCTAGATTTGTTTAAAAATTTTTCAGATTTATAACTAAATTGATTTTTTTAAAAAAGAAAGTAAAATT